AAAATGTGCTTTCCAATTATACTACCTTAGATAAAATGTAAAGCATTCCTTTTTAAGCGACAGCAGAAGACAAAAAATAATTAAGCCAGCATATTGAAATATTTAGCCCCCTTCTAGACCTCCACAGTCACCCTTCATGTTACATATGACAGTGTAGCCATCTTCACACTCTGCTCTCTTCACCATCCCACAAACGTGCTGCCCACCCACAACTTCACAGATCAATCCTGTGCATAATATGAACAGCCTGACCTCCTGAGCATGGTTTCACCTCCCAGCCTGCTGAGAAAGCTCTGCTTTTCCAAGAAACTGGTTGTCAGACAGGCAGTGCTGTCCATCAAAAAAAAAAACCAAAAACAACCCCAACCAAACAAAAAACCCTCAGCAACAGAAAAATACTCCCACAGCCATACTGTTTAGGTTTCAGTGAGCTGGGGAGCTCAAATCAGGCAAGCCTCCCACCAGAAATACTGAGTTGCCAGTAGCTTGTCCTGCAGCTGAATACAAAGATCTGTTACAGGTGCAGCCACTGCTGGGCACAGTTCTCCAGCAAGTTTCAAGGCTCCCACCAAAAAATAGGCTAATTCTTTCCACATGATAGAGGAGGTAAGGGCCCTAAAACCAGGTTCAGTCACACCTACAGAGATCATGTCCAAGTCAGATTTTCCAGTACATAGTTCTTGGGTAGAAAAAGTGCCTCATAGCCCATTGCACCATTATACTCAAATCAGAAGAACAGCTATAATTCAACTAGGTCTTAGCCTCATTTGTAATACTAAACAGATAAAGCTCACATTGTGTTATTCTGGTATAGCTGACTCAAATTATGCACAAAAAAAAAAGCCACAAGTTTTTGCTGGTATTCTTTTCAAAGCAGGAAACTGAAGTTACTACCTCAAACTGAGGCACGATGGTAGTAATTGACTGATTTGTAGCCTCTAAACATTTGGTGGCTCCCAGTCTGATGTGGGTAATAATCTCAAAAGACTTGTCAGAAATGGTTACCTGGAGATGAAATAGTAAATAAGAACAAATAAATTTTATTATAGTACTTTTCCTCTATGTCTATCCTCTTGTTTGTTGTTGTTTTATAGTGGATCTTTTTCTTATGCTTCTTCTGTTATTTGCTGGTTGTGAAAGCAGAAGGCTTCAGCCTCAACTCTTAAGGACAGACCAAAAAAATGAGAGCAGGTGAGTGATACGAAGTAGTCACAAACAATTTTTGTAACAGAAGCAGATGGCTATGGACACTCATCCTCTGCTTCCCCAGCAACCTGTACTATTAAACTTAAAGTAGTGTGGAAAAGGGAGCAACTATCATCACAATACTAGTCAAAGTGGTTTAAAGGAAAGACTGGAAAGTAGGAATGTTCATCATCTGAGTGCTACAGCCCCAGAGCTTTCCTGCATCCTGTATCAACAAGAACAGAAATACAAGGTGGCAAATCATCTTTTCAAAAGTCAGTAGAGATGCCATGCAAAACTCTAATTCATTATTAAAGCCAAGTGATTTCTAAGGCCCCACAAGACAAAAGTCTCTCTGAAGAAAAGCTGAAGCTGCACTTCTTCTTAAGTGCAGTATCCTTTTTGTGGGATGATTGTCATAAAGAGCTGGTTCAGTGATGCAGTTTTGTGGTTTACATTATGTAAAGTCACTTTTGCACAGCACAAGGAAGACCAGCAGAAGCTAGACTGTGGTTGAACTAGGTCAGGTATGAACTAAAACAGGTGGCTCCAAGCACATCTGAAGAATTTGTCCTGTGCTGGTTCTGCTGTGCCACTTTCTCAGGCATGTGCAACCGTTTCCCCCTTCTCACAAACCCCTTGGAGAAGTCAGAATCAGATTTATGCAAGCAAAGAATTTCTCAGAGCTACTTGCTGATCATCCCTGTTAACCACCCTTCCATTCACTTGGACTCTTCTTACTTCAATCTACACCAAAACCACCGAGGTATTAATTTCTGCGTGGAAATGCAGAATACTGCAGTTTTTCCTTGGCAATTGCTGTTCATCTTCAGTTGTCTGAATAAGGATATACCCACATGACAAAAGAAAACCATCCATACCTGCTCAAACAAAAGCTTAATAATAGATAGCAAGCAAACACCCATTCCAAAATATCTATCTGTATGAGATGGCCTGAATTAAAATACTGAGTTTCTGAAAATGTTTCCAATTAGTTCATTTAGGAACACTTCCTATTTTGGAAAACCTTCATATGTCAACCTCTCACGGACAGTTTATAGCAAGCAAGCAAAACAGAAGTGCTGTTATTTGAACAAGGGCGCCACATAGTGTTAGGAACACAAAACAGGCAAGCTCTCCTCAGCCTTCCCTGGGTAAGGGAAAAACATGGCCATTATAACACAGAACTGGATGTCTCCCCATCTCGTGATTTTTGAAAAAACAGAAAACAACGTAGCACGCAGTGTAAGGAGGAGAAATTAAATACACCTCCTGTTTCATGCTGCAGCTTAAAATGTCAACTAAAGAAGCAAAAAACAGTAGCTGTGAACTCCCATTACATTTGCACCAAGTAATTTTTGTTCAAAGCACAGGCAAAGAAACATGATTTGTAGCTAAGCCAAGAGCAGATTATGAGTATTTGGAGGCTGCACCTAACAATCAAAACAGTAAACAACTTGTGAGACTAATCACAAATTTCTACCTGTCATCTATTTTCCTGCCAATATCAAACAAACCCTTCTGCAGATTTTTTTCAAAGGAGTACCCAAAAAAACTTCGGAAGATATTGGAATACAATGACATATTACTTCCTCTTACTAGTTATGCAGTTAAAGGGCAGGAGTGGCAGTGTGAACAGAAATTATGTAAAATAAGCAAGTCTTTCAATTAAGTTACAATACTGTACATAAGAGCTCCCATAAGAAACTAGACCATACTACAAGCAGTGGGAAGAAAAAATTTATCCAGAACAATCAACAATTTTGCCAATTTAAAAGTTGTATTAGACACAAAACAAGGAAACCTTTTTCTTCTTGAGGAAAAGAAACTGTTTCAAGAAGTGAAACTATTTTAACATTCAATTTCAATAGTGGTTTCTCCAGGAAGGATTTACATAGCTGTAATTTATAAAACAATATGTACAAAAAACCAGACAATCCATTTTGCTCCTAGGCAAGACTTTTCTAGTTTCCTTTTGACAGTATTTTCACATTACTAAAAGGGACAATAACTTTTATTGAGATATTTACATTCATGTTTTAAAACCCACATTCATTGTCATCTGTAAATGAAAAAACCCTCAGTACAGCTATTTTATTATAGAAAGAATCTGGCATTAACCTTAACTTAAAAAGCCATCAATTATGAGTGATTTTTCTTCTATAAATTCACAGTAGATGAAAGAGTCCCAAACTTTAGCAGTGGATGAGCCTGAGATTCCCAGGCTTTTTGAGATAAGAATTCTCTAAAAAAACATCACACCCACACAGTTGGCCCCATGCTGCTCATCCTTCAGCCTGGGTTGTGACTCACTTCTTCATAGTTCCCCTTTCCCACCCTGCACATGACTTTCCTAAGGGAGATTATTCAACTTGGACTCACTCACAGTCAGCTGCTGCTGACAAAGGGATTCATTCCAGCTCCATAAATGCCCTTATGGCTAATCAGGTATCTGAGCAGCCAAAAAGATCACTGACTACAAACAAATGTCACCTGTATCTTCCTGAATATCGCCTGTTGTCCACGCAACAGGCTGCACTATGGACTTGGGAAGGTGGAGGAAGAGACAGGACCAGACAGCTTTGGTAACTGCACAGAACCACCACCTGACCCACACCTACAAGTATGTTAGAGCTGGCCACACTTGTAGAGATGTCGATGTAAAAGTCTATAGCAAGTCAGGCCTCACTACTCAACTATTCTGTCCAATCTTCCCAACATCTTAATTCCCAGCTAGCTTAGTATGCCTAGCTGAAAAACATATCTTGAATTGCTACAACTAAAAATCAATACTTTTCAGTAAGAAAAATGAAGATGTGTGGGAGCAAGCTATTTGGAGCCACAAAATACAAGTGCAAAGCACTCTAAGTGCACAACATATTGTACCTAGTTCGTATATTTGAAGAAACCTTTTGTTGACTAAAAAATTGCCCCCCAATATTCTTTCAGAATAGAGTTATTATAGAATTCTTATAGTTCTGTGTTCTAGATATGCCAGATCAAAGGACTTTCCCTTTACATTATCAGAAGCTGCTTTTCCTGAAGACAACCTAGCTCCCAATTTACATTTTGCCCAATAGCACAAACACAACTGCGGCATTCCAGAGCAAGTATTTTCATTTCCATTACAGTTGGCATAAATCCATCTTATTCACACAGCTAAGTAATTCAGAAGCCTCAAGCAACCAAAGACAGTAAAGCAGAAATCCATAAACACAGCTAGGTTCTTCCTGGTTTGAGTTTTAGAGAAGTTACTATAGGTTTTAGTGCATTTATATTGTAAACAAGTTTTCTTTTTATGATTTAGAAGCACCAAGAAGGATGAGACAGAGCAGTATTTTGAGTAAGGCAAGTGGTGGTTTTACTGAAGGACTGAAGTTCTTAAACACCTTATACTGTTCTTAGAGCAGACAGTGCTTTTTGCATTTTACTTTTATCTATTTAGTTCATGCATCAACCTGCATTTGTGACAATCTTCTACCAAGTTTCAAGGTTTGTTTGGTTGAGAGTTTCCTTATGCACAAAACTGTTAAGAGCAGGAAGCTGGCATATCACATATTAGAAAGTAAAATGAACAGATTAATCTGGACCAGTCATATCTTACCAGTTCCCCCAATAATACTCACAAAAGGTTTAGGGAAATGAATAAAAATAACATTTACAGCACATCTTCTTAGTCTTCACCTACAAGATTCAATCGAGTTAACTCGATTTCACTCCCTACTCAGGCAAAGGTTCCCATTAAAAGTCATATCAGGAGATGGTTTTTGTAGGACTGCAGGATTTCTCTTTAGATTTGAATTCCAGATCTCCCTAACACTGAGCATGACATACATGTGCTGTTCTTGTTCAATTACATCTTCAGGACCACATTGAGAAAGAAGTTTTAATAAGAAGTATTCCTTGCAGACTTCTCAGCTGCACAGTATTTTGTCACAAAATTCTCAAATACTTGTTTCATACTTGGTTGATTGCTATCAGGAAGGTAACAAGGAATACTAAATTTCCAATTACATAGATGGTTAAAACAATCTGTTTAAACAGACGACCCTGCAAGAAAAGGGGAAGAAAAGTCATTGAACAGTCAGGTTTAAATGAAGAATCATCCCATTTCACAGTAGCTAGTTACCAAATTGTGACTCACCTCTGCTTCTGCAGATGTGAGTGACTGCAGTATCTGTACTCTGTCATCCTCTATCACTTCAACTGTTTATGGGAAGAAAAACAGAAGTCAAGTCTGCCCTTAACAAGAAGGGGGGCTTCATTTTTATACTGCAGAAGTCTTGATCCTGTGACTAAGTCTTACACAGCATCAAATCTGAAAAGGACTTGGGAGTTTCATTTGACATTTCATGACCTGTTAATACCATGCTCACAGCACAAAATAAAAAATTATACTGGTGCTGACCTACAAAACTTCTGAACACTGAAGTCAAAAAACATGTCTTTTGCTATACTGAATAATCAAAACAGAGTTTTGAGCTAACACTTTCCTTTTATATTTTAAGATAACTGGATTTCATAAGAAGTATTTTCATTAGCCAACATGAGAACACTCATTGTCCAAACATTTCAGGTTAGTTTCCCTACTTCTAGGAAGTAATTACTGCAGTTTAATTTAAATTCATATCTTTTATAATCACTCCTTCTCCACATGCCACCTTACACAGACTCTTAATTAATCACACTTCTTCAGTTCTGCGGCTGTCTCATTTCAGCTTTAGACCCAGGTCATTCACATGTACAGTCATCTCCTCTGTGACACCAGCCAGTGAAGACAACAATTCCTAATGAAGTTACTATGCATCTCTTCCCTACACATACTGGAGTCAGAACTTCATATTCCTTCCCCAGTCAGTCAAAATGGCAAGCATGCAAGCTTGCTTCTGCAATAACAGCAGTTTATCAACACTTAAATACAGATTAAATCTGCATTAATTAATCTGGACTTAACATACGTACCTGGGATCAAAATCATAGCAAAAAGTAAGTCTCAGAACATATTTACATATCTCAGTCTGCACATTTCAGTCCCCAATGAACTGTGGTTTGAGAAACAAGAAGCTACTATTTAAAATGGCACAAACCCCATTCTTCTAGAGAACTCTTGTCTTAAAAACTGGTTTTCTTCCATATTCATTTGTCTACAGAAGATACAACACTACTAAAGAGTTACTCCCTTTCAGCTTCCAAGTAAGAGGCCAAAGAACACCTCCTGAAGTTCCATCCACGCTGGTTTCATTCTCAGTTTTGCTGCGTTTGTACCTTTACGAACGAGACAGTAGCTGTGTATTTCCAGAAGAACATCAGTACCAACATGCCAAGCTACAAAGCCAATCATTGCATAGGTGTCCCATGGGTCTGGCAGGTCAAGTGCTGGCAGATCCATTCCCAAGAACATAGTCACAACTATTCAGTAAAAACAAGATAAAAAAACCCAATAAGAATATTGTGCCTGTGTGCTTTAAACATTTCCTCAATGCTTTTGTAAAAAGATTTCCCATTAATTACCTAAAACTGCTTGAGGAACGAGGTTAAAGGAGCTCACACAGCTGAAGGCTGTTGAGGTATTTTGTGGGGGGATAGGGGGTTGTTTGAGTGGGGTTGTTTTGGGCTTTTTTGGTAGTCACCAGTCATCACAATATTAGTGCTTAAGGTTGCTGTGGAAGCTTGTCTCTATTACTAGAATTAAACCCAGCTGCTGGATCTTTAAGTGAAATTCCTGTCTCCCATTCAGTAGCATTGAACTATGCTACTGTAACAACACTATTCTCATATCTTCCAAGACAAAAAAATTATGAAGATAAGGACAGGCCCTTATTACAGAAGAATTTCAGATCTGTCAGTAATTCCTTTGGATTTAAAGTCAATTTTTTTCTCTAAGTTGTATCCAATAGCCCTTTAAAACTCACACAAAAGATGGCCAAGAAAAAGGATCTCCAGACATGCCTGGAATAGATGTACATCGAAGTTTTAAATGAACAGCTGCTCAGACAAAGGGCAAAGCTCCTTTAAATCAGTTAAATGGGAGTTACAACTATTACTTTTACTCACCAGCTAATATTCTAGCTGTTGTACCAGTACTCCAGTGAAACCAGTTAAACAGTTGCCTCCTGTAAAACAATTAAACACATTTTATTGATTACACTGTTGGGGGAAGGGGTCAGAAATCAAAGAACATTTTTGCCTACTTTCAAACTGTAAAAACTTTCCATTGTGAAAAGAATGTAAAAAGAAACAGTCACATTTAATTCCTGTGGCTGTAATTTAATGAGTCAGTTGTACCTTGGTGCATGACGAGATGGTCTGAAACCTGCCATAAGTGGTTGAAAGATTGTCAAAGCCATCACAGCACAGCCAAGATAAGGATGAAAACCTGCTTGCTAAACAGAGGACATTTTTCTTAAATATCATATCTATATAAACAGAGAGAAAAGACACCAAGAAGTTGCAAATTTTATTTGTTGTATTAGTAAGTTACAATGGAGCAGCACCAGCAGAGGCAACAGGACACAATAAGCTGCCCAGCAGCTGGATGGAGATTGTTTGCCTTGGTAGCAGACACACTGGTATGTCTGCTCAGGGCTTGTCCCACATTTTTGCTATATTGAGAAATTCCACCAGCTGAAGAGCAGACTAACATTATAGAAACCATAGTCCAAGCTCTCTAGCCTCAACCCTGTGTCTCCAGGATAGGCCTATTTTATAACTCATTCCAGTACTGATCTTCTCTTTCACCCAAAAATGTTTTATTCAATTTCCCTAGCTCATATCTGTCACCATATTCTTCCACCTTGAATTCAGACACTCTCTAGACTTTCCAACTTTTGATGTGACTTTGCATCAAACAGAATACAGGTGATAGCAACATGTATGCAATCTCTATCTAGCTATTGCTCCAAACCAAGCTTATCACTCACCTTTATGTCTAGATTGACAAAGACACTTATTCCCAGCAGGTTTACAATGCTAATGTCAGCCACCACATCCTACTCCCCTCCCAAGATAATATTCTCTAAGGAAACAATAAGACCAAAATAGTACATAAGGAAACTGTGAGCAAAGTAGTTATTTGGGAGAAAGAGGAAGGAAGGAAAACACCAAAATTTTTCAGCTGTAGTTTAAAGGAGACAGAATTCCTCTTCTGGGTTGCCAGAATTTGAAATCAGCCTATTTAAGAACAGCTTTCACAGAAAATTTGTTAGAAATAGTCACAATAGCTGGCAGTGGACTTCCTCATTCATTTAGTCCCACCTTTACCTTTCAGTTAAACAAGACTGAAAGTACACACTTACTTGGCTCCAACCTCCTCGGTACACAAAAGGCAGCACAAAAGAAATGCTTGTAAGCATGACTGTGGTCAACATAAGCATACGATGCACCTAGAAAAGTTAAGTTTGCTTTTAGAAACTCTATACTTAATACATCATTAGAAGACATTAAGTAGACCTACAGTTAAAAGATATTCTTAATCCCCACTTTAGACTTAACCTTTACCAATAAAGTAGATGAACTTCTGATTTTTAATTTATAAGATTAAAGAAAGATGTGAATCATTTTTTGTCTATTTCTTGGATCTAGTGGGTTTATAATTCTGCTTGCAATAATGCTAGAAAATACAGCTAGAGATATATGGATTTTTTTCCCACCTGAAACCACAACTCCCTTCCAAGTAGGAATGAATGAGACCAGACAGGTTTGAAGAATCGTGCAACAATAACACCAATACTAACTGTGGTAATCCAAGCAACAAACATTAGTGCTCCTGAAAATAGAAAAAACAAAGGTAAATGATAGGTAACTTAAGTGCACAACTTCCAAGACTATGTAATTGTTTAGTCAATATGCACATGTTTAGAATTTACCAAGAATTAAAAATGTATCCCCTGGATCATGCTACAGCTTTATAGCCTTTACCTTGCTAGAGAACAAAAATATCCATGCAAAAGATAGTCATACTTTTCCAACACAACACAACAGAGCAGCTCTGGCTACTGCACATTTCACACAGGCTAATACATTTTGTACATACTGGTGAGAGAAACCATTCTATCACCTACACAGACAGAGGATGAAAGATGATATTATTACAATCTGTGTGACAAAGAATGAGTGGCAGTTGAATCATGGACTTGCATTAAAGTCCAGTAGTGGGGGAGAAAAAATTCCTGGGCAAAAAATATCTTCCGACACCGTTCTTGAAACAAAAGATTAGTAACTTTGCTCTGCCACCAGAATATCAGATCTTGCTAGCCAACAGAATATACAACGCAAACGCCAGAAAGACAAGAGTGAATACCAACTCTGCAATAACCCTCCAGTCTCAGTAACTCTAGAACTGGGAGACAAAACTAGAAACTGCAGCTTACCATGAGCCTTGATAAGCCGTGGGGCACGGGAACCGCCAATATCCAGAGGAAGGCCTGTGACATTGTACAGTCCATTGGTGACCAGGGGCTGTCGACGATGTTTGTGTACGAGTCCACCTGAGCAGTGACAGAGTGATTTATTTCTTGCTAATGAAAGCCACTGCACTTTTAAGTGTGCCCATTCTTCATTCATGATTTCAAGCCCTGTTGTGACCACTGCACATAATCATACAAGCTAATGCACAATATGATAAGAGCCTAACATCATCTAAGCCATCCTGCACACTGCATGCACAAAATGCAACTCGCCCAGCTACAGGAAATACAATACATATCTTAGCAAATTTGCAATAACTTCCATAAGCAAACCTATAATTCAGAGAAGCAGAAAAGGTGATTGAATTAAAGGCCTTAAGCTTCAAAACCTTAGTTCAGACACCAATTCTCATCTAAGCCATATCTTACAGAAGGGTTACTAACTCATTTGAAGCTGTTAAAAGAAAAACCATATGTAAGTCAAGTTTACCTTCACTAGCTTCCCCATCTGCCAGAAAGATGTAGTAACTGGTATCCAGATTAAATCTCCCTTTATAAGCAGGGAGACGAATCCTCCTTCTGAAAGAACATTGAAGAAGGCCATCTGCAAGCCTCCACGACACATCTTCAAGGGCATTCTGTAAAACAGGAGATACTAAACCAGTCTGAAAAGACTGGGTATTAAGTAATTGGCTTAAAAGACAAGAGTGTCACTGATATATAAAGAAAAAATGCAAATTATCCAGGGAAGGGGGATCCCTTCTAAATTGGCATGCAAGAGGTATGTCGTAAGTCAACATAGCAACTTAGGGTTTGAATTATCACTAATTTTTACAGCCTGTAACAATGTTTAACTCAGGACATAACAGCTGCAGTTCTAGCAAAGGGATAAAGTTTCTAAGAAAACAAAGCTCCCGTCATGTAACTATCTTCACAAATCAAATTTAGACTTCCAAAGCTAACACTTACTGGGAAGTAAGAGCCCAAGCAATCTCACATTAGAGAATTATGGATCCACCTCAGTATTTACACCTGTTGTGCAAAACAAAAGTACAAAGCAGCAGCATGCATTAATTCAAAACTACATCTGTGAAAGTGTCTGAGTTGTTTAAAACATACCTCTGAATCCAAGAGAGGATGACTTCGCTCCTTCAGATGGGCAGTGCTCACGTGAACGTGGTGATCCTCATTAACACACAGATAGGCATCATCACCACCCTGCAGAGTTGAAAATAAAAGTATCTATAGCCCAATAAAAAACATTGCTGGCAGTCTCCAAAAGGTCTTTGATTTAATATAGGCAGCAAGACCTGAGAGATTTTGTAGTTATCAAGCTGTTAGTTCCCATTTTTCAAGCACATCAGTATTATTACTGAGGAACCATATTAAGTCATAGAGATGACACATAGAAAGAAACACGCATTAAGATTCACACTCCACTCCCAGAGTAACAACCATATTATCAGAAGTTTCTTTAATTATTTAAAATTTATCAAATTGACCAGACAAGACAGAGATGGATGTTGGAGCTATTTAAAAATCCACTTCAGTTGTAGGATTTTTTCCTCCACAGCTGTAAAAAAAGTCTTAAGAACCAAGTGTTCCTGCACTAGGGAGATGAATGTAAACAGCATCTCCTTTGTGCAACAAGCAGCCGCTTTTTTGTCAGCATCCTCCTTTCTTTTCTTCATGATTCGTCGGCGAGTATTTTTTTTCATTTTTTTTACTGTTTTTTTTATAGTAGTATTCTTGGGTGATCTGCTGCTAGTTTTTTTCTTAATAACTCCTTTGTTGCTGGGTGGTATTTTTTTGTTGGTTAATTAGCAGTTTGTTTTACCCGGGATTTTCGTTCGGCCGGGTTGATTTTTCCCTTAGGGGTTTTTTGGGGAATTTTTCTTGCGTTTTTTCGTTCTTGGGTTAAAATGGATTTTTCCCTTTTAGGAACCACCTTTTTTTTTGGCCTTTTGGGGGGTTCCCCTTTTTTTTGCCTTTTGCCGTTTTTTCCTTTTTCCTTTTGCTTTTTTTTTCAACTTTTCTTACCTTGCCAAAGGCACTTCCGGAAATTAAATTAAACCCTTCCCCTTCCCTTGTTCTTGGGAAATTGCAATTGTTATTTTTCTTTCTTTTGGCCCCTTCTTTTCATTAAAACTTGACTTTTCTTTTTTTTGGAGGGTTGGAAAAAACCTTGAGGCCTTTCCGGGTTCCCGTTTTTTGGGTTTCTTATTGCGGACTTTGTTATTTCCCCACCTTGTTGCCTTAACTTAACCATTTAGGCAACCAATAAATTTTTGGGCATTGCCGTTTTCCTTTTTTTTCTTCTTTTTTCCCCTTGTTGGAGGAAGGCTTCCAGGGACCATTTTTTTTTTTTCCCCCCCATTTTTTTATTCCTTTTTTCCATTTCCTTTGGGCTTCTTAGTTAAATTGTTGTTGATTTCCAGGTTAATTTTGGTTTGATTTTTCCTTTTGAGGTTTTTCCATTTTCTTACTTTCAAAAGTTCGTTAGGACTTTCGGAAAAAAACCTTCCTCTGGTCTAATATTTAGAGAGGTAGTATCAGCTGAAAGATGAGAAAGAAAATAAGGGTACTACAGCTTTTTGCTTGTTTCTTAAAGTAGAAACTCCACTGATACACATTGAGAAAATACACTGATTTTAAGTCACAGTTATCCTGGATCAAATAGCAATGCTTACTTGATCCATTCAAGATTCAATAACACAGATTAACTCAGAGGGGAAAGCTTCTGAGACTGCAGTTGCTAAATAGAAAGTTATTAGTCAAGACCAGGTTAAGTTTTTTCCCATCTCTCATGAGAAGTACACAACATTTTCTGATCATTAATTTCTAAATGTTCTGTTAATCTTCTCACCTTTGTGCAGCATTAGGAGATTTGACCCTGCAAAGTTCAGGCAACTCAGCTAAAGGTAGCTGTCATGTTCTTAGCCTTAGATATCAGTTACTCATCCATCATCTCTCCTTTTCTGTTAATAGGCTGCATCAATGTCATCTCATGAAATTCCATCATCACAAGCATTACGGAATCACAGAATAATGATGTTGGAAGAGACCTCTAAGATCATCAAGTCCAACCTATGCCCTAACACCACAACTGGACTATAGCTCCAAGTGCCATGTTTTTTAAACATATCCAGAGATGGTGATTCCACCACCTCCCTAGGAAGACAATTCCAGTATTTTATTATTCTTTCAGTGAATTTTTTTTCCTAATATCCAACCTAAACCTTCCCTGACATAGCTTGAAACTGTGTCCTCTTTTTCTGTCAGTTGCTGCCCAGTGGAAGAGATCAACCCCCACCTGTCTACAACCTCCCTTCATTAAACATAGCCTGATTAGATTTATCATTACTTACTGGTTTTGATATGTAGGAAACTGGGTGTGAAGTTGACATAGCCTCTGATGTTGCATGCAAAGATGGTGTTGGGGACAGCACATCAGGCTGAGAAACAATGGGACCCGGAATTTTTACCCAGAAAATCCTGTATTTCTTCACAACTGTGGCTCTTAAAAAACACAACACACACAGTCATTGCTGTATATATTTATAGCTGACTGCTACTTTAAAAACCAAAAAAAAGAAAAAAAAAAAGGAAAATAATCAATAGTTCACAGAAATTATTTGTAAAACCCTCATCTCTATTGAGACCTCTACCATTTTAGGGATTGAAGTAGGAAAGTATCTGAAATCTTAGAAAAAGAATTTTAAAACATAATACTACATGCTGCAGTGAATATAAGAAACATTCATGCCTATGGGATAGATTAGAACTTCAGGGAAGAGTTGCAATGCTTTTATCCTGTAGTTCACAAAAAGTTAGTAGTGTAACAGGAGGATATATATAGAGTATAGTTTGGTACAGCAAAGAGAAAGATCCCTGACAATGTATATCGCAGGTATGAGAAGTGAGAAGGTAGCTAGAAAGACTAAAGAAACCAATTTTCAAATCCCCTTATACTCTTCCTGGGAGGGGAAAAAAAAAAAAAAAAAAAAAAAATCACCTTCAAGCTCTTCCTAAAAAAGTGTTTACATTAAGACTGCAGCAAGTAGGAGGTATTGATTTTCAGGCCATTGGACCCAAGGACTTTTCAGTTGCGGGACAATATTTGACACAGAAAATGGTACCAGTTTACTTTGTCTGCATTCTAATAAATTAGAATCTATACTAGGTTTACTTACAGAAACTGTACATATTTTGGAGCATTTTCAGGAGCAATCCAATAAACTTTTATGTCTTTCTTTTTTGATTTACTTGTGTGACTGACAGCTGAATTCTGAAAATACACACATATCAAGAGTTAGACAGTGGATACTCATTTTGTTACCTAAGACAGCAGAGGCTGCAGCTAAAACCTACAGAGACACTGCACTACCCCAGTGCAACTGGCTTTTCCCCAGTCAGTCATGATCAGCTCAGGTGAGATGTAGCATAGCAACTTACTCATACTAACAAACTTCAAGACTAAAAGGAATAGCTTTCAATCCAGAAGACCCCAGCAACGAGCTAGAGGTCCCTGCAGCATTTATACAGAAATAGTGAGATTTTCTTAGTAAGGAAATGCTCCCCTTTTTGACAAGAGGATAAAGAGACAGTACAAGCCCCTCAGTGCCCACTGAGTAATTGTAAGGCACTGGACTCTCTACCTTGGTACGACCACACGTCAGCAGCTGAGAATGTCTCCTGTCAGCTAATACAAAAGAACCAACTGCAGGGCCATCCAGGCGTTCTGCATCCCGGGCTTGTATGAAAAATCCTTCAAAATCTGGTCCAGACAGATGAACTAAAGCAAGAAGAAGAATAAGGAAATTTAACTCTACTCCAGAAGAAGAAGGAAGTATTTCAACAATGACTACCAGATGCTCATTTTACAAGTACTGAACAATGGTTAATAGATTACCTCAACAAGATTCAGCTGCTTAGATAAATCCAGTATAGAAAACTGAGGAAAGACATACTGTAATAAAAACAATAAATTAAACTCTTCAGCTGTAACTGACATAATACCTTCTATGTTGTCCCCTGGTTTAAATTCAGTCCCATTCACTGTAATGGCATGCTCAGGTGACAGCTGAGGAGAGCCACCATGACAGGGTACCATGCTGGTACAGGCTTCTCTTACTTTCCCATTTGGATAGCCAACCACAGATGCATAGAGGCAAACAAATATCCAAACAGCAACACCAGGCAGCTCCATCTGTAAAAAATGAAATTTACAGGCAATTAAACATAATAAATATTTACATTACAGGTCACCACGCCTCTTCAGAAATCAGTTGAATGGTAGAATACAAAACTATGTTTAAAAAAAGCATTCATGAGAAGACACCACTCCCAGCTTCTGAATAACTTCTGCTTCTGATAACTGCCAGACATTGTTAGAATGTTCAGATATTGTATTTCAAGCCATCTACAGGCTGTCAATGGATTCCTCCATGGAGTGAGTGGATAGAAATCATCCATCCACTCACTAGATGGATGATTTGCCTCCATGCATTTTGACAGCCCTTTTTTTAGTGTGTTTTTTCCCTCTCTCTCTTGTTTTATCAAAAAAAAAAATATCAAGTTCCTTAAACATCTTTATATGCTTCACAGCTACATAAAAGTCAACAGTATTGAAGAACTATACAGCTAGTATTAAGCCCATTTTCATTAATCATAGATTTTGCATCATTATAGACTGCCTTTTGTTTCCACAACCCGTGTCTATTTCCTCACTTATGACAAATAATTCCCTAGTAAAAAGTTCTTCTTTCTGCAGGGAAACTAAAATTGCCAACCATCAGAAATAATTATACATGCAAGAGTGAGAATTTGGTATGAAGATGTAGACAAAGAAATATGCATGTTTGTTGCAGACAAGCACAAGACTTCTCCTTTGAGCCCTTCCTTTTGGATATTGGATCTCTAGACAATTAGTCAAACAATGGATTTGGCTTGTCACACTCTTGTCAAGGGATCAGCATGCATGAAAGACAAGAGATAGTAGGACTCCAGATCCTAAAACAGTTATATGAACCCATAACCTCAGCTTTCATCACACAGTGTTTTACCCCACCACAATACTGTTTTCATAAAATCTGTGGCAATTGTTTTGCTGCTCCAGTAGCATGCAGGGCTTACAGCTGTACTGTGGTTTCCAGAACACCTTAGCCAACAAATTAAGGCGTTTCCACAGCCAAAAGGCCAGAAGAACAGAGATAAAGTTTCTCTCAGTCCTCAGGCACAAGAAGTGAGTTATCAGCTCTAGTGGAACACAGACCAGGCAAGTTGATCTGCCTTCTGGAAGAGCCATGCCCATTTTGCAGCAAGTGATAAGAAGTAACAGGTTTTGAAGCTCCCTGACAGCATGGATGGACATGAAGATAAGAAATACACAGAGCCATTTCAGACTGAACTCTTGATACCTAAAAAGCAGTCAAAGGAAGACAAGGCACATCATTATATTACACAACAGGAGTCATCAACATGAAATCTTCCAAAGTTCTCATACATGGAAACCCAGAATTTCCAAGGCCATGCTATATTTGTACTTCAACATATGGGCTCCCCAGCATCTTTACCCCACTAAATAGAAGAAAATCAGAGGTAAGAGTGAGTTAAACAGTTAGGTTTCAAGAACCAGAAAATTCTAGTCTCTCTCAACACTCAACTCTTCCCAAATATTCAAGATAACATTATGATCATATCTTTTAGTTCAAGTATTTCCTTCTAGTTCAAACACTTGTCCAAACTGTCAGAAGTTTACATCTAATTCATTTTTTATATGCAAGCTAAAGATGCCTATAGGAAGATAAAGACTAATGTTCAGTACAACTATATGTACCAGAGAAAATTTCAAAACAAGAAGAGATAAGGCTGCATATCACAGAGACAAAAAATGTAAGTTAGTTTTCTGCTTTAAGTAGCATAGGATGTGGTACGGATGCAAAGGAAACAAGAAATATTCTTGTCAGATTAAACTGACTCAAAAGCTGGCAGAAGAAAAAGATTAAGTAGAGATTAATAGAATTAAAAAAAAAAAAAACCACACCAAAATCTGAAAAAAATTAAAAAAAAAAAAAACCACACCAAAATCTGAAAAATATTTGGATAAACAGAGAGCAGTAAGTTACTTCTTCCTGTGTTGAAAACAACTCCTACACTACCTGCAGGTAGCCCAATAGTTCATGAACACAATGCTCACACTCGACTCAGGATCTCTTCAAAGAACTTATCTTCTTTCAGCTGTTAAACTTCATCAGCTGCATAATGTGAAATCTAAAACTAACTTCAGAGAGGAAGAAGAGATGAGACCACAGGCAAGGCAAATATACTGCCAGCTCAAAGGTACAAAACTACCATTGCCAGAAATGTCTCCTGAGCACTATCAGACAGGAGAATGAACAAAAAAGGAAAGAACCACCTGAAGGAGAATAAGCAATATTAATATAAGGATTTATGACATATTCCTTTAGAAATAAACCCCTACAAAGGGAAAGAAGACAGTCTTGCTGTCCAAGAGATCCCTCTCAATTAATAAAAAGAGCTTGGGTTGGCCTCTTCTGTTTAGTTAAAGGTGGTCATGTCATGACAGCTGGATTGAGCAAGGACAGAAAACATATTCATAATAATTCATTACTTTTAAAATATAAACATACACACCCCCATGTGCACAAAAATACACACCTCAGCATTGTGTTCTTTCTAGGAAAGAGAATTTCAAGGGCATATGTGTTTCAAAGTTATGTTTTGTAACAGTTTGAGTGTAGGTACTTACCTTACAGCCAGTCCTTCTGTTACAGTGACGAATCCTGAGTAAAACTGCCATTGGCTCTCTACTTGTAGTAAAACAATTTATATGATTTTGTAATATCTTCTATTTGGTTTGGATCTAACTGTATTAACCTTTACTGTATTCATGAAGCTTGTCTGAAAAAGAAACAGTACATACACAAAATAAGTACGGTTTATGAGAGCATCTTTACTTCAGGCACATATTTTATAAGCTTCCCCACAATTCAGCTGAAATGCATGAAGCTGTAATGAAACACTGACCCTGCAGCTTCCTTTGCTTTGTCAGATACTTCCCCAGATGCCAAAGAGTTTCAAACTAAGTAATTACTTAATTATCTTCTATTGCAGTTAAGGGCAGGCAGACAGAGGGAACCTACAACCAACTTTTGATACCTTCTTCCTCCAATAATTAGTTGACATAAATTTGCAGCATGATTTTAAAGCTCATTATACATTTACTCCCTATCAAAGAGATGCTTTCTTTTTGAAGAAGAATAAACAATTTTGAACAATATGGCAGCTTTCTCTTTTTTCCACATATCTCACCAAGAATGAACAGGAGGCAAGGATTTCACCCTGTTCACTTGTTTGCTTTAATTATTTTACTTGAGCAGACGCTCTGCATAGAATCTTCATAACTCAACCTTGCAAACTTCTATCTATATGAAGAGCCCAAAGTTGGAGACTAACCTAAAGAGATGCAGTTTGTTATCCCAACAAGTAACTTTAACTATAGCATGAACACATTTACTGTCATAGTTTCATAGAGCCATCTCCTATGCACGTTAACAAAGAAACAAAATGAGAAACTAATATTCACACAACAAGAAGCAAAAAAGATACCAGAGGAACGTGGGTGGCATGGCTTCCAGACAAATAAGCTATAGCTTACCTTGACTCATTAAGGCAGACAGATTTAGGAGTTTTCTCTAAAGCAATTCAGAAATCTTGCATGAAAGGCAGCACCTAGACGGTGCTCTAAAGACGCCACCAGATTTTAATTTGTTTCATACCTGCTGCAGATGTCCTGTTAAGCAAATACACTTTCCAAAAAACTTGCAGTACCCACTTGGAGCACTCACTGGCATCAGTTTAACCAAAGCACTACTACGAAGGCCACGGCAGTTCCTCAGCCCTACGCCGCCTCACTCTCCTGCCCAGCACTACTACGGCGGAAAAGGGCGAGGGGGGAGCGCAGCAGGCTAAGGAGCCCCTTGGTCAGCTCCAGCCTGTCCGCGGCCGCGGCGCTTTTCTGCCTGCGGGGCGGGCGGCGCGGGGCCCGCGGGGCGCGGAGGGCGCGGCCCGGGCGGGGCGGAGCCGCGGAGCGCTGCAGCCGCTCCGTGTGCCCGCCGGGAACCTGCCGGGACGTCCTGGTTAGCAGCTAGAGTTTTACTGAGAGATTGGCCTTGCCAAAGCTTACAGAGCTCATTAGCGGTGCTATTCGTGGGCCGAAAGGTGGTCGCATATACAGGCTTGCAAAGTCAGGCCTTTCTTATCAAGAAAGCAAATAAATACTGGCTGTAACTGGGGCTTTGCTGGTAGAAACTGCAGTTGCTTACACAGGCTTCTCTAACTTCTGTATTGTTTAAATCCAAGTTCTCAATTGCTCAGGAAGTGACACAAAAGGACAATTACTTAGAAATCCAACGGGAATTTTGCCTTCCCACAGTGTTTGTGTTAAAAACCACCTTTAGTGGAGAGCTATTGTGATTCAGTTGCTTACTAGTAGTTCTGAGCAGTTCTAGAGATCTTAGTACTATTAATTTGGTAATATTTTCTTAGAAAGAATATCTACTAAAATAGACTAGGAAATGTTTTGTTAGTATTCACTCTTTTCTCAGTTTCTATAAAGGCAGCATTAACCTTTAGAGGTACCCTGTGGTAACATATCAAAAAATACATTTAACGTGAAAAACAGTAAGGGATTACCTTGCCCAATCAGAAAAATTTGACTGTTACTTGTATTGTCTTGCTCGTGGTAGTTACTGGGATGCTGAGATCTCACTCAGTGTTCAGCAACTGAAGAAACAATGCATAAGCAATAGCTTGATGTGAAATATGGCTATTTCCCCCTAGCTGGGGGGGAAAAAAAATTCTGTTAACAGCTACATTCATAAAGTTCCCGTATATGAAAGAGTTTGATAAGACTGCAGGCCTAACTGCATACATGCTTCATTATGTGACTGTGTGTTTTTACCTAATACAGATACATTATTAGTAAGACAGAGATGGATGAAAATGCAAGCTACAATTCTGTTGGAAATGGTAATCAGAGTTTAAGAAGGAAAAAATAATTTTTCTGTGAAAAGTAAAGAGGGCAAGGGAGGGAATACTGTTTTGCTTATCATTGTATAGCTTCTCTTATTTCAAAAGATGTTAGCTATTGCTAAAGGGCTGCAAAGCAAGAAAACCAAGATAACACCACGAGAACTAGGGAGAAGAAAACCAACTCTGTAACTACTGGGTACAGGTCCCCATACTTCTGCATGGGCAATCATCAATCTGTCTGGAAGGGCTCTTTTCAAACACAACAGTCTCATTAAAAAAATTATAAAATCAATAGTTCTGCAGCCTTAATGAAAATGTTTCTATGAAAGGGCACTGCTTGCTAATTTGTTAAGCGTCATATCCAGTATAAAGTAAACAGAATGCATTAGGGTATATGAGCTATAAAAAGTCCACAGTTGCATCTACTTTGTAAAGTGTACTGCAACTGTTATGTGTTCATAATAATTCTGTATTTGTTTCAAAGCCGATGTTCTAGCTTAACCAAATGAGATAGAGACATAGAGGGCTGGGGAGTGGGTTTGAATCTTCCTGCAAGCCTGAAGAGATAAAGCTGTGTAACCTACTATTGACCTGTGTCAGAGGATAAAGTGGCAAACAAATGAAACAACATCTAACATGAAAAGAAGCTGATGAGGGTTTTTTGCATCGTTTATTATAGGCACTTAAGGAATCAAGTGAAAGCTTATAATTTTGAAAGCAACAGGAATTTCGTAGAGGAGACTTCATTCCAAGTATATAAAGGGGAATTTCTTGTGCTTGAGAACCAAGAAAGCAATTAAGCAAATATATATAATTTTGGAAATTAACTATTGTGCAGTCCAAGGTTTATACTGATAGCTATTCTATTTTTTAAGCTCAAAGTTATATGGAAAACAATAAGCCATTGAAGAGAACCCATGTTTCCATGTGAGTCCTTCTAATCAACTTTCCTCTTAGGTATTAAGCTAACTATTCAGCAAAACTGTGCCATTTTAGGTCAGACCTTGCTCAAATTTCATATATGTGCACTGAGCTCTATGTTACTGGCAAGGTTATAACCATAAAACATCACTTGATTTCAAATCAAGTAATGTGCAAAAAGGCTGCATCCCTACCAGATTGTTTTGATGATGGATAACTGGATCAAAGAATTTTTTGTTACTAGCATTACCTATTTTGAAATACTGAATTGTGTTTGAAAAAGTGCATTGGAATTGGCTAAATACATGCTGGATACTAGGCTTTCACTGAGGATAACAGTCCTGGCATTAATATTTACTCTTTTCTCTCTTGCGTAAACTACACACACAAACCCATGCATTTGAAGATTTTTCAAGCTTTCAGCATTTTCCAAGATTTTTAGCATTATTGTCTTAGTTAAAGATTTATTAGGGAATTAATAACAATATTTTTATCTTAGATATTAAGAATTCTTCCTACCAAATCAATTTGTATATGGTGAGATTTTTTACTCCCAAAGGAGAATGCTGAGTCATTGAAACAATCCTGACCATCTAAATGGAAATAAATGATGATAAAGTCACAATGTAGGATGAGATTTTTTTTCCCCCATAATTAATAATTTAGTCTCCCTTGAGATTTGGCACTGTTTCATACTTACCTAGTTTACCAATTTACTGTTAATTTACAATTTAGATTAAAATATTCCCCTTATGTTCAGAAATGCCCTTCTACTGTATGCATTTTTTGATTCTTTACTAATCACATTAATTTTGAAATTTTTTATGTCACACATAAAAATTTAGACTTGGAACCGTATTTATATGAAAATACTTGTTTACCTAAAGGTAAAACGCATTTTATAGTTTTCAGTCAGTTACTGTACCAAGCCACCTGGTGGCAGTAGCAAATCGGTCAAATAAGATTTGCCATCTCATCTCAGGAATCCTTTCTCAGACAACCCATTTCCATTTCTTCACCTTTTCTCATCAGCTCCTAATTTGATTCCTTCATGGCTTTAAATGCATTCTTTGTTCAGAACCAGCATGTCTGTGGGTTTTGCAGTTGCTCTGGGTTCAAGCACAAGCAGTCCTGCTGGAGGGATGATGTCAGTTGTAGCAACATTCCAGTTAGTACATGCCCAATGCCCCTGTTGGGGGGACCATGTGGTGATGTTTGAGTACTCTCCATGGGAAGGGCTGCAGGGATTTTAGCTCTTACTTTAGCAAATCTCACTTAAGTTTTGTAAAGACTTTCAAAAGTTAATAAACAGGTCATAACATGGCTGGTAAAAGGCATATCCAACATTGTGAGCTGTGAAAAGAGTAAGGGAGAGAAGATTGTCTCATACTAGTTTTCAAGTTCTGTAAGCAGCAATCCTCCATTGATGAGCACAGGGTAATATCAAGCAAGGCGTAAAGGGACCCAGTCCAGACAGGCTATGGAAAGCTGCCTCCTGCAGAGCCAGGTTAGTACATGGTCACTTTGGAAGCCAGTACCTCCAAGGAAGCTCCAAACTTTCTCAGAAGCAAAATATCAAAGCCGTTCTATTCTACAAGACACTTTCCTCCAGCTGAAAGTGGTAGTGCTTCATACAGAGGCACTACCTCTGTATGGTGCTTCATATGTAGGATACTCAAAAAACTGGACAGCAGCAGCAGTTTGTACAAAAGCACAATAATTCCTAGGTTCTGGGTGTTCACCTAGGAATCAATGCCCAGTAATGGGCAAACTACTTCTCATCAGTAATCCTACACTTAAATTTGTGGATAACCAAAAGACTTGATGATATCAATGAGACAAACACAAAGGACTGCTGTTTTCTGGTAGCAGCATTTGGAGATGGTTCAACTGTAAATGTTTTTGTGGTCTTATTGCTGTATAGCAAAAGATTTGCCAGTCTGAATTCCAGCTTTGTAGCACTTTAGAGCAACCACTGTTTTATCATCTTCCTTGTTCTTCCTGCTCATGTTTAATATCTTTTAAACAAATGCTTGTGGTAGTCATACATTTGGTGAAACATTTTCCTTCTGCAATATATTACACCCTGTTAGCCTGTTCAAATTAACCTGGCTTGAATTCTGCCAGCACTGAAAGATTACAGAGCAGGACTACAGTTCTCATTATTAGCTTTCAGATAACTTCATGTAATTTTTTTTTTTTTGCTTAAAAATCAGATGTCAAATATATAGAACAGAAAATAAAAATCCTTTGGTTACCATTTGAACTCAAAAGACTTAGCTAGGTAAGATTTAAGGATTATTATTATAATGGACCAGGAAAATATTAATGATATTCTCAGTATAGTTTGATATATTAGGAAGGAACATCATAAAGGAGAAGGAGCATGCAAGAGACACTCTGATTATTTTTGAGGAGGAAATAGATCTGCTTGGTAAGACATTGCTACAGCTCATTTAGGAATAGATCCACTGAAGTCTTAAATCTCAACGTATCTCACTAGTGTTACATGGAACAATTCACAGGAAGACAGAAGTGCTGGTAGTGGCTCAGCACACTGGTATGATATGTTCTCCTTCTACAACAAAAATTGGCCCAGTATATGTGAATCAATTTTACACCTAACGAAGTTAAATGGTACAAGAATATAATTCAGATACTTAATTTTGTTTGCCAAGTCCCCATGTTTGCAGATTATTAATATCAAACTAATGTGATGGTTAGCTAAAGCAGTCAAATGTATCTAAAGTACTTATGTGAAAAGCTACATTTAATGACATTTTATATGGTCCTCTTTAAAGATATTTTCATTGAATTTTACAATTTTCTATTAAAAATTAAACTCGATTAAAAATTAACTTTCCATGGATGTTAGAGCATTGATTGTTTGAGGGCACACAGTAAAAGAATGGCCAAACTGGAATTGAAAACAAACCCAAAATGTTAATCTTTGAAAGGTCAAACACTTCCTTACATGAAAGGCCAGCAAGGACAAACTAAAGAGATTTGTGTCCTAGCATCTCCATCTCATATGATTTCTGACTTAAGTAGACATTTTTATTCCAGCCTATAATTTATTCACTGCCCATCAGGCTATTGCAATCCTTTCAGCCATTTAGAAGGGACTTTTTAAAAAAAGCTATAGGTGGTTACATCAATATTCTCACTAACGTTTTCACTCAATACTAGATTCTAATATCTAAGAACATACCCAAATTTCTGCTGAGCATGTAATTGTCTAAGAAAGCACTTGTTTTCAGTCACTGCATAGCAAAGATCTAACTCAGAAAAGACTGAAGTTTAACCAAACTGCAGAGATACACTTTTAAAGAAAAGGAACTTTCTTTTAAGTTTGCATTTCTGGTTGAGAAATCTCCATTAGAAAACAAAAGCTAGACGGAAGACTCAACACCTCTTAAGCTTCTTATTGTTGGAAAAATAACACAGTGCTAATTAATGAACTCCCAGGGCATGAGTGTAGAGCATTGAGAAAAAAATGTGCTCACTTTAAATTTTATAAAGTCTCATATTTCCTGTGTGCAGGCCAAAGGAATCTGCTTTTAATTTTAGTAAGATGTTCAGCTTAGTTGTCTGTGTGCTACTTGGCTTTTACTGTTGTTATTGGGAAATATTTTTCTTTTACTAAACATAAAAAACTACTGCCATCATGAAAGTACTTCAACTTCAGAGTACTTTTTACCTTTTAAAACAGGCATAAGCAATATGACATTAGTGAGATGTGACACCTAGTGAAAAGCTCCCAAAGTGTATTGACACCACTACTAGGATAAGTGTTCTGTGTTGCAAAACAGGAGGAAAGAAAAGAGGACCACTAGGAAGGTGTATGTAAAAGGAATGAAGAATTCTAGTATGAGTAGATTTGAAACTGCTGCAAAATTATGCAGCAGTTCCTGATGATTAACATTGATATGGTATGTGGTATATCACAATCACACACAGAGAAACTGCAAACAGGATAAAATGGCACTGTGAAAATTGCCCCTTAGATGCCAGTGTAGCAAATGCTCAGTTGGTGTTGGTTGTGACAAAAGTGCAATGCTCAAAGGTAGCACTTGTGCATTCATGTTTTGATGGTTTCCACACAGAGAAAAACTGCTCAATTTACATGTGCTAAATTAACACAGACCCAAAGTCTGTAAGGGATGGGCCAACATAAGAGATGATGACGATGGAGAACGGATTAGAGAAGTCTGCTCCTGTTCCTGATTACCTCATTGAGAGACCTGCAACATTCATTATCTTTGAAGCAGTATTTTTTTATACTGATTTGAAAGCAAATGAAATTATACTAAGTGATTATAAATATATAAATTATACCAATTATTAAGTGATTTCACAGTACTTGGGCAACCTTTTTCTGTGTAGTGAATCAAGACCTTTATTCACACTGTTGACATCTGGTTTAGCTATAGTCACAAATTATGTCAAAATAACTGTCTCAGGCTTGGTTTCATAATAATTTTTGTCCACGACACTAAAAAAATCTTTTTCATAAACCTGGTTCCATTTCAAAATCTGTGTCAATGCATAGTATAGAGGAAATGTGCCAGTGCAAACCTAGTAAAGGTAGGGCGAGTTTCTGTATGGAGTAAGGAAATCAAAAGAGCCACATTTTAAAACTTAGTAACAGGACAGAAATTGCTTTCAATAATGCCCATTTGGTTCCTGTCTTGCTTTTCACAAAATATTCAACATGCACTTTAGGATAACTATTTATGCAAAGGACTTGGCTACATAGGCATTATTTGCTCTCCCTCTCTTAGAGCTGCTCGCTATGTAAGCAGCTCATGAAATTTTAAATCCCAGTCCATTTTCACTATGTGACAGGACAACAGCATGGCCTGGAAAAGACACTTGTGTAAATCTCTGTGGCAGACTGAGTGACTGCAGTCACTTCAAGTTACTAAAGCTTGCAGGGACCCTAGAAAAAAGATGGTCCACATTTCTTTCAGTTACTTCAGTTTTGTTTCTATGGCTTCCAAGAACTGTGTTGTATTACCTTCTTTTCTGGGACACATCCAATTCAGAGGAAACAGCCAGCATGCCAGGAGAGCCAGGGTGCAAGTCTGTCCTGTATATGAACATAGGCCAGCAAGCTGAGTAAAGAATAAGGGGGCTGGAAAAGAAAAGGACAATGGGAGAATTCTACTGGGCAGGAAATAGCCATGTGAAATACCTCAGATTGTAAGTATCAAATCTGAATGAGCCTTGATGAGGTGAATCCTAAGGGAACTGCACTCAAAGGGGTGCTTTTGCTTTTTGCTCCATTCTGTCTAGGAAACCTAATATATGTCAAGGGCAGACAAGTTGACCTATTCACCTATACCAACATGAAAACCTTTCTCAACAATACCAAAAAACATTAACTGTAATGAGGAACAAATAGATTTTTTGAAATTTTCAGAGGGAGGAGCAAGTGAAAGAGAAAAATTAAGGAGAAAAGCTACTAAATTATAAAAAAAACTTTAGCTTGAAATGAGTGGAAGTGGTTCCATTAATATCAAAACCTTTGGACTTTCCCTAAATGCACTGTAATTGGATAAACACTCTGCAGTAAAATACACTTATAAGGGTATGTGATGGGATGGCTAGAATTAAACGGTAAAGTCTAAATTGCAGGTTCCTTCCAATGCCACAAAGTACACCAACTTCGAAAAGAAGAAAAAACGAACTCAGTATAACACAGTGACTGTAAATTGAGAAGCACTTTTTTAAAAACATATTTCTAGGCAATAAAAATAGACTGACCTTCCAAAGCTGCAAGGCTGACCTTTACACTGGGGTGCAGTGTGAGAGGCCTGGAGCAATTGTTCCAGGTGTTCTGCAATACAAAGCAATGGTAAGGGCTGCATGGGGTCAGCACTTCGGATGACAGTATGCTGCAAAACAAGGCGGCGAGGGGGTGTTGTTCTGCTGTTTGGGATTTTTTTAAAAACCATGCTACCTCTTGGTCAAAGACAGATCCACGGAGTTTGTAGTCTTGTCCACACACTATATATAGCACTTAAACTCTGGCTGACATCATGTTTTTTCAGCAGCGCAGCCTATCAGGATGGAGCCGGCCGCCCGGCGCTGGGTGCCGGCCCTGAGGCAGCGGGGCGGGCACGCTGAGGGAACTCGGCGGAGCGGCGTTCCAGTCACCGCAAGGAGCGGCTGGGCTCAGAGGCATCGGCCAGGACACTCCGGGCAACCTTTAAAGCCACCCAGCCCTCAGCAGAGTGCCCGGCAAACCGCACAGGGCTCCGCACCCAGGTGGCCGGGCTCCGCAGGGACACCTCTCGTGCCCGTGCGCTCCAGCCGAGCGTGAAGGCGCTGGTGGGGCTGCGGCTGTAGAGGCTGCGGCAGCAGACAGGTACCCGCACGCCGCGCTGTCCGCGCTGCAAGGCCAGGCTCGCGCAGAGCCAGCCGGCTCGCTCGCTGCCGCAACAGCGGCACGGGGGGAGCCCCCGAGGTAGCCCTGAGGTATCTCTGGGAGAACCCTGGGGAACCCCTAAGGTATCCCCGAAGTTCCTTTCCGTTCAGGGCGCGCTTCGCGGGGCCGCCAGCAGAGGGGCGGGACTGGGAGCCAAAGGGGCGGGGTCGGTTCGGCGGGGCGAGGCCGAGAGCGGAAGAACGGGACCGGGAAGGGCGGGGCCGAAAACGGAGGGGCGGGGCGGAACGGAGGGGCGGGACCGAGAATGGAGGGGCGGTGCCTAGGATGGAGGGGCGGGGCCGAGAATGGAGGGGTGAGGCCGGGCGGGGCCTTGAGCGGAGGGGCGGGGCGGGGCCTGCCGGGGACCGGGCGAGAGCGGAGGGGCGGGGCGGGGCCTGCCGGGGAGCGGGCGAGAGCGGAGGGGCGGGGTAGCCCCGGCGGGGTAGCCCTGGCCCGGCCGCCCCGCAGCGCCGCCGGGGCGGGTCCTGGGCTCTCGCGGGAGCTGAGCCGGCGCCGCCCGTCTCCGAGCGCGGCTGCCGCGGAACCAAAAAACTTTATAAAAAAAAAAAAAAAAAAAAAAAAAAAAGACAAGAAAAGGGCAGGAAAGGAGCGGTGCTAGCGCGGCTGCGGGCAAGTGCGTTACTGATCGCCGAGCCAGGCTGGGGCGGCCGCTGCGGGCAGCTCCAGCCCCGGCTCCGCTCGGCCTCGGCAGCCGTCGCCCTCCGCAGGGAGCGGCGCCTCCGCCGCTCTGCGGGCCCGCTCGTGAGTATGGTGGAACGGCTCCGGTGGGCACCGCTCCCCATGGAGGGCGGCGGGGCGGCCGTGAGCGGCCTGGCGGGGCGCTCCGGCAGCGCCGGGGCGGGTGCGAAGAGTGACAGGTGTCAGGCTTCCCCTTCCCGGGGGCACCCCTCGGCTCTGGCTTCGGGCCGGGCCGCGCTGTGGGACGGGAGTTGCTCCGGAGTGCTGCCGGCGGCGGTCCCCGGCCGGGGCAGGGCTGGGCTCTGCCTGACAGCTCGTCCCGTACCGCCTCCCCTCCGCCCTGCCTGCAGTGCCGCGTCTCCGCGCTCCCCGGGACCGGGGAACATGTAAGCGCGGCCGGCGGCGTGAGGCTCCCCTGAGCGGCCGCGTGCTGCCGGGGGTCTCCGCTGAGCCGCGGGGTTTTGTCTGTTCCCTCACGGCAGGGCTTCCCTCTCCTTCCCCGCGCTGAGAGCGCCGGCGCGGCGGGAGCGCCGGGCGGGCGGCTGCAGCCATGCCGGGCGGTAAGGAGACGCGGCTGCTGCACCTCGGCGAGATGGAGAAGCTGGACAAGACGCTCTTCAGGCTGGAGCAGGGTAGGTCGAGATGCTGGGGCTAGGTGAGAAGGAATTGGCCAGGACCTCGTCATCGTCTTTGCATGGTAGTGGAAGGAGAACTCGTCCTGAAGCGGAGAAATTTTGGTTTTGGGGATGTATGGGAGGTGTTGTTGGTTTCGGTTTGGTTGTGGGTTGTTTTGCTTTGTTTTGATTTGTTTCCACTGCAGAGCTCTATGGGCTTCACACTCAGTTTAATCTGACTCGTTAAACTCTTGAGAAATGAAGAGCAGATTGGCCAAGAGCCGTCAGTCTTTATGGGACTGAAGCACAAAGCATTTTTCAGACAGGCCTTTTCCTTCTCCTTTTATAGCCTGTACTTCAGTGACCTGAAAAAGTCCTCATAAGTTAAGGTCTCCAGTGTTTTCCTTCTTATGCAGCACCCCATGTTTTAATATTGCAATTTTGAAATCTATTGGTAATACTTGCATTTTGCAAAGTCTGCAGGTTTGAGGTAGTGCTTCAGAATATAAGCTCTTTAGCACCTCCTAAATCTTGTTATCAGATTTGCTATATTATCAGGGCTATGTATCTTGTTGCATACATATAAGAACTTGATGTTATTTCTTCCTGAGAGTGCTTTTAAGTCTATTTGTAAAAAAAATCCAGAACCAAAAACCATCCACTAATTGGTCTACTGTTATGCTGGTCAGCAAATTTAGACTATAAAACTAAAGCCCTTGTCTTTGAAAAATATTTTTAACAGTGCAACAATTTTTAGTAAGAGTTTTTGTGGATTTTTTTATGGCATATTACTAATCTAGGAACATAAAGGAGCAAGATATTGATTCTTGAGAATAAAAGTTGTCTTCAACTATATTGATTCCAAAATCTTCTGACCAGTCTAATATAAGGAAATGTCAATAGTGAAGAAGTGCAGAGTTGATCCTAATTTCCATTTTTAACTTATCCATCAAGTTGTGTAAATTTTCTTGAAAGGAGGGAAGCAGAAGTGCATGGCTGTCAAATATCCAAAGTGCCCCTGCTGGTAGCAGTCTCTGAGAGGGCATAGCTAATTTTGAGCATAGCATTTCTGCTGTCAGTATAACTCTTAGAGGAAATAGGATATCAGTGGCATATATCCCTGTGATCTAATTTTAGTAATCCCTGTATCAAAATGTCAGGCCAGTACTGAAGAGAACATAGTTAACCTTCCAAAACTGGTTTTATACGTATATGTATTACATTCAAATGAGCTTCATTTTACCTGACAGACATTCAGATCTGAAAACAGCTGCTTTTCTTGGTGGGTTTTGGTGCAGTGGTGATTTTGTTAATAAGAGAAACAGAAAGCTGGATAACACTTACATTTAAATGTATTCAGATATTGAACTCTAGTATTAGTCCCCATTATTCTACTTAATAAGCAAGTCATTTTTTTCAGCTTAAGGTATTGTAGCTTGGTGTCCAGAATTTTTTATACTCTCATTCATTAGCTGTGTACATTCATTACATTCATTATCTGTGTACTAATAATTTTGCCCTTTTTTTGCAAGTACTCAGGTTTCTTTTACTCCCAGTTTTGTAGACTGCTAGGGCTAGAAGATGATTTACTGCACTTAGCTACGTGACTGGCATGTACTGTATAAGAACTTACATCTGTTTCATTCACTTGAACGAACCCTGTACTTGGCCACTTGTGATAGTGAACATCATACCTGCAAGTGAAAACCTTTCTGAAACCTCCTGACTAAACATAATTTTTTATGTTTAACTCAGTAGAGTACATATGCTTTTATGTTCTAATTTTTTAACTTAAATTTTTCTCACTATCACAAGTATCTTAAGCTTAAACTTGAGCTTCTTTCTATGTGTGTGAGACCTGAAGCACACATTCAAGATTCCTTTAGTTTGTTGAGCTCTGAAAGTTTAACCATTTGTATATTGTAGATCACACACAAGTATACATAATTCTTCAGTTAAAACATAAGAAATGTACCTGTTTAGTGAATCTTCAGTGAATAATGAAGGTATTTGAAATATTTTGTGGTTGTAAATGTGTTCCTAATTTTTTTCAGATGTTTTCATGTCTGCTATATAGACTTGGTACATCTAAGTACTTAAAGACTATGTAATCCAAAATCTACATAAAATTGTCTGTAGTCTGATGATCATGGTGTTTTGCTGTATTTTATTTTCAAAACTTTGTGTAGCAAAGAAGATGAATGGTGCCATGTAAGGAAAAAGCGTACATGTAAAGAACTGTGTTAGGAAGGAAGGGAGAGATAATGCAGTTTTGAGTGCTGCAATATAAAGTTTGAACCTATTAAAGACTGTCCAAAGTGAGGATGGTGAAGGGCCTTGAGGGGAAACTGAGGCATGGCTGAGGTTACTCGGCCTGTTCTGCCTGGAGGAGAGGAGACTGAGGGGAGACATTGCAATCTGCAACTTCCTTTTGAGGGGCTGACAGTGATCTCTGCTCTGTGGTGACAGTGACAGGACCCAAGGGAGTGGCCTGGAGCTGTGCCAGGGCAGGTTTCGGTTGGATATTTGGAAAAGGTTCTTCAACCCCAAGGTGGCTGGGCTCTGGGACAGGCTCCGTAGGGAAGTGGTGACAGCACCAAACCTGACAGAGTTCAAGGAACATTTGGACAATGCTCTCAGGCACATGGTGTGATTCCTGGAGTGTCCTGTGCAGGGCCAGGAGTTGGACTTGAGTGGTCCTTGTGTGTGCCTTCCAGCTCAGGATGTTTTATGATTCTATGCTGTAGAAACTTATAATTGTGCTGAAATTCTTAGTAGATATGATGGTGTTATTAATATAGTAGCAAATTAGGAATTGTAATAAGAGACTAGAAATATCTAGTCTTCCTGATCAAGTGATTTTACCTTTTGTCTTTTTCTTTTTTTCTTGAGGTTTTGAGCTACAATTCCGACTGGGCCCAACTCTTCAGGGCAAGCCTGTTACTGTGTATACAAATTATCCAGCTTCTGGAGAAGTATTTGATCGCCACAAGTTCAGGACACTGTCATGGCACAATCCCACAGGAAAAGAAGATGACTCTGACAAATACTGCAAGCTGGATCTCCAAATTTCTGGGTCATACCAGTACTATTTTAGTCTTGGGTAAGTGAAATTTGTATACCTGCAGCCAAATGCAATTGCTCCCTTGGTCTACATCTTAACATGAAAAACCCCCTTTTTTTCCATGCCTTTTTCAAATTGCAACCAAGGGACCAATTAAATCCACCAATGAAAGACAGTAACTGGTGGTTGTCTAGTACTTTCTGATGCAGAGGTATTCTGGAGAACACACAGAACCAAACTGATCAACTTTCTGTGAATGTTGGAGAACTGATCTATTTTTACAAGTTTTCAAATTCATCAGCATTCTAAGTATCTCAATGTTTATTTTGTACTCTCTTCATTGACTTTGAGGGTTGTTTTTTATCTA